CTCCCATTTTATTATTCAATATAACATTACCTATATTGAAATGTGATATATACATACATATATACATACACACACACGCACACACACATATATACATACATACATACATACATACATACATACATACATACATACACATACATACATACATACATATACAAAGTCTTCACTATATTAGGGTATTTATAAATGTTTGCATATGTTATATTGTAAATAAAATAGGAGATGCTACCCAGTAGATGCTGTAGAACAATTACAAGTATTATATGCTGGAACTGAATCAACTAAGAAAAGAATTCAAAAGAAGACCAGCAATGCACTCACTTTCCACAAATACATCCTTACAAATTAGAATACACCTCTGGTTTATATATTATGTATGTGCTTTATTATATGTTCAGTTCAACTAGAATGCATACATTTATAATAAATAAAAACTGAAGCTTTCTCCAAGAGTAATTCAGAAATTGTGATAGGGACAATGTAATGGACTATGAGAATAACCTTGAGAGACAGGAAGAAAAGCCTGGACGGCAGTCTGACAAGAGAGAGTTGAATTGAAAGGAAACCGTGGGAAGAGTCAGTGTCCCTCCTTCATTTCTTCCACTCTAATTAATGGAGGTTGGGAAAAGATATACTTTCAAACTTGCAAGATTGACCTTGCCCTTCAAGGTAGAAAACTAAAACTCATGAGTACTAATATTACTTTCATTGTAAGGTTACAGTAACAGAATCTCGCAAGTTGAAAAGCACTTCCTTCTTTGTCTTTACTTTCCAAAGAGCTAAGGGTGGTATGTTCTGAGATGCTTTCTCTTCCTCCATCCCTCCTTTGGATTCAGCTTTCGTTTGTCAGACTGTTGCCTAGGCTGTAGCTCTTCCTTCTGTCTACCAAGGTTATTTTGACATCATTCTCATTATAGACAACACTTGCACTATGATCAAATTCAAATATTGCACCAAACAGACATGTGCTTCTCAGTACTGTCAGGCCTGCCTCTGTTCTAAACTCAAGAACAAAAATCCCCCAACTCCATTGAGATAGAGAAGAGATATTTTTATTGAGTTTGAAATGATAGCAGCCAAAGCAATAGAAGATCAAAATGCACGAAAGTTAGAGATTGAAAGTTTCCCCAAATCCCTCCCTCCAGGGTCCAGTGCTGAGGGACGGGTCCAATCAACATCCAGTATGATGTTGTGTGAAGCTCATCTTCAGGTATTTCATGCATCTGGAGTCCTAGGACAGTTGGCCTTGACAGGGTGTAAACAACTCCCCCAGCAGTGCAATAATTCTTGAGCAAACCTCCCTTTCAGTTTACATGGGACCTCACCAGCTTACTTCCCCAACCCAAATGCTATGCCCCGTCCCCGTTACTGTGGCAGCCGATAGCACGCATCCAGCAAAGTTGAACCCCATGCTGGAGATCCAGCTGACAGCTATACTTTAAAACTATGTGTTCTTCTGCTTTGTCTTAGAATCAATTTCCTACTGAGTGCAGCAATCCAGATTAAATCATCCATTATGTTGCTGAACAGCTTATGCTTCAATACAGATTCTAGAATCAGAATCTGCCTTTCTGTAACTTAAAAGAATTACTCTGTATTGTGTGCTGACATTATCCTTAGCCTTCCTTTGGTGATCTCCTTTTAAGTACTCAAGTAATTGCTATAATTGCCCTTCTGAGTTTGCTGAAAATTATGGACATTCAATAAGAGCCAGTTTGCTGTGGGGATTAAGGCATCAGAATACAAAATGGAAGACCATGAGTTCTAGTGCCGTTTTAGGAACACAGCCAGCTGGGTGTCCTTGAGCCAATCACTTTCTCTTAGCCCTAGGAAGGAACCAATGGCAAACCACTTCTGAAAAACTTTGCCAAGAAAACCACAGGGACTTGTCCAGGCAGTCTCTGAGAACTAGACAGGTGTTTTTTTTTTGGGGGGGGGGGAGCATGCTACAACTGACTCAATATGTTGGTATTGAAATAAATTAGCATGTGGTGCCAATGTTACATTATGATTCACCGTGGCTAAATCTTTTGTGAAAACAATCTCCTTAGGTATTGTTTCAAACAGTGTGATGCCTAAATAAAAATAATACATTTGATACCAAACAACCCTATTTCCAGAGGGAGAGCACATTCTACAGATATATAAATCATTACACCCACAAATAATCATGAAAATCAACAAATGCTCAAAAACCTGTCAAACTAAAGATGCCAGCAATTATTTAGAGTGATAGGGAGACATCTCTATGGAAATAAAATTACTGGCAAACATTTGTTATTACCTTTCTATGACAAAGGGCAAGCTAAGAGTAAGTCAGTGATATTACACATTTCGGATTACTTAAAAGGCTTTGTTTTAATGTATTGTTTTATCATAGATAATAAAATACAGAACGGTAAAACAAACAAACAAAATGAAACAAAGCAAAAGCATACATGAACTCTAACAACAACAAAAGAAAAGGAAAAAGGAGGAAAAAGGGGTCAATTAGATTTAACATTTAACATTCTCCATGGCTAAGTGCTAAAAGAAAAGAAAAAAGAATAAATTCTCCTCCCCCTTGACATACATACATACATACATACATACATACATACATACATACATAAAAGCAGTCAACAGGTTGTGCTAAACATTATACTAATCTTCAAATTCCTCTGTTAACCATTTGTTATTATATTTAGCAAGTCAAAGTCCACAAATGGTTTCCAGTCTCTTATAAAGCTGTCTAGTCCTTTATCTCTAAACCAGTGGTAATCAACCTGGTCCCTACCGCCTACTTGTGGGCGTTCCAGCTTTCATGGTGGGCGGTAGGGGTTTTGTCCGATACTAAAGCACTTTCNCACCAGGGCTCCAATATCTGTTTCTTCACCTGCCCTACCTCAAGGGGCTGAATAAACAAAAGGTTATTTTATGAGAAGGCCCCATAACTTTGATATGACTATACAATTTGCCTAAATACTGCTGATATATAAAGTAGTGTTTTTCAACCTTGGCAACATTAAGACATATGGACTTCAACTTAGATGCTGCCTGAGGAATTCTAGAAGCTGAAGTACCTACATCTTAAAGTTCTCAAGGTTGAAAAACATGAATATATAGGCATAAAAAATTTGAATTAATATGCGCACAAACTGCTAACAATTCAAATCTGTTGCCATGGTCATGTAAGCTCAATGTTTTCAATCATGGCAGGCATTTCATGTAAAGCAACTCTCATATAAAGCATCTCAAAGAGTAATAATAGATTGGTAAGTTAAAGGCATATTAGCTCAAAAATGGCAAGTAAAACAAATGTTAGGAAGAAGCATCTCTTAAGAAACAACACTATTTAAAGGAAGTCGCTATCTACATTTTCATTTTCCTACCTGATTTAGGATTTAGAGAATCACACTCTGAATTATACATATGCACAAATTCCTGGTGTCGTTTAATAAGCTGTTGTTTTGTTCCCTGGGTGGACAATCCATGTTCTTTCAGTCTTTTCCTCAGATCACGGTCAGAAAGTAAACTGTAAACCAGTTTCGGTAGTAACTTTCTTTTTTGTCCAGAACTAGGAGGAAAAATCATAAAAGGGAAACATATAAAAATATTTCCTGTAGGACAAAATGAGCAAATGTACATATTTTTACTCAATCTGTGAGGCACACATAAATATGTTACGGGGCACAAATAGGTCGCGGGGTATATGTTGCAAGTTTATTCCAGATATCGTGATTAATGTTATTTTACTTTGACCATATTTATTTTATTTTTAACCCTCTGCAGTCCCTTGCCGTGTCCCATTTCTATCTCCAACATCAATATACTATTTCATTAAATTATTACTTATATCCCATTTTCCTTTTGGAGAGCTTTATTTTCTTACCCTTATAATAACAACTTAAGCCAAAGGGATAGATCTAGCACTCAAGTAAATATTTTAAAAGCTAATAATCAAATATTTAATGAGGAATGGTACCATTCTCTGTTATTATACAGAGCATAAGAAAGTAGCTGAGCAAACTCATTTAGACTAACATCTCTTATTTCTCAAAAAAAAAATATTCCTGCTTATTTATTTCAAAAAGCATATTTAAAAACGCTAACAAAATATCAACAATCAGCAAGCTGCAAAAATGCCATATATGTTGTTGTTGTTAGTTGTGAAGTCGTGTCCGACCCATCATGACCTCATGGACAACGTTCCTCCAGGCCTTCCTGTCCTTTACCATCCTCCGGCATCCATTTAAGCTCACGCTTCAGTGACTCCATCTAGCCACCTTATTCTCTATCGTCCCCATCTTGTTTTGTCCTCAATCATTCCCAGCATTAGGCTCTTCTCCAGTGAGTCCTTCCTTCTCATTAGGTGGCTGAAGTATTTGAGTTTCATCTTTAAGCGCTGGCCTTCTAAAGAGCAGTCAGGGTTGACCTCCTCTAGGACTGACCTGTTTGATCGCCTTGCAGTCCAAGGGACTCTCCAGCACCATAGTTCAAAGGCCTCAATTCTTTGGCACTCCGCCTTTCTTATGACCATATATATGTAAGCACTATTTATTTAGGATTACATACATAGGCTAATCAAAACTGATTTCCAGTCATAATCTCTCCTTCT